GGGCCTGGGACTTTGTGACCAGTCTGTGGGCAAGTTGGGCCTCAGCACAGGCCTTGGCCTCAGTGGGAGTGCCTAGGCCTTGGGAGGGCCATGGCCTCAGTGGGCGGGCCTGTGCCTTGGGCGTTCCTGAGCCTCAGCGGCTTGGCAGAGGGCTGGTCTAGGCCAGGGCAGTAGAGGGCTGGGAGTCATGGCTGCAGGGAGGTAGTGTCCGTATTTGATAACGTTAAAAATGCCACTCTCAGCCTCTCTGTGTCGTGGGTACCCCGAATTTCCTGATATCCGCGCCGATATCCCTCTCTGTTTGTTCGGCTTTGTTAGTGTATGCTTCCTTTTCTCTGGAAATGCAGCCTTCTAAGTGGGGTTGCTCTCGCCCTGCATTCCTAGGTCTGCAGAGGGCAGAGGCACTCGCCAGTGCAGGCGCGGAAGCAGGAGCCGCGTGCAAGCAGGCAAAAGCTCAAAATGCCTGTAATTCCTCAGTAATTTGATCTTTTAAAAAAATGAGTTCAGAATGTTGAAATATAGGATCTTATGTTTGTTCAAAGGCTGTCTGTCTGCTAGACAGAGGTTTCTTATGTGTGATTCCTCCCCTTCTCCCCAAGACTGCCCTACCTGAGCTGCCTGGTCAGGGAAGCGCCGCTGCTTTTATTTTGACGTAAAAGCGTATTCATTTTCTTTGGGTTACCCTATAATTCATTAATTTTCCCATATTTAAAACAGTCTGTTTTATCTTGAAATCTAAGTGACTTCCTCACCACTTAAATCTACATTTGCATCTACACTATTCCCTCTTTTTGCTTTGTACTTGTGTTCATTATAGTATGATATCTCTGGTTCCCTATATTATCTTGTAGGTTTGTTCTGGCCCTGTAGGATAAAGCATAGGTCCATAAGGTCTGTTTAAACTGCAAGGTCGGTGCTTACAACTCACAAGCTGTTCCTCGGAAGCCCTGTGCAAGGTCTCTATGAGTCAGAACTAACTCAACAGCACTTAACTACAATAATACCTGGATCAAGTTCTGGGTGGTGTTGTTATATATGTGGTCTCAGTTTATTGTGTGTTATTTTTGGTTCTCAGTCCTAAGAGTACCCTTTAGTATTTTTGTAAAGTTGGTCTTGTTATTACAAATTCTTTTAATTTTTGTTTATCTTGAAATATCTTGATTTCACTGTTGTTTTTGAGAAACAGCTTTGCTGAGTATATTACTCTTAATTGGAAATTTTTTTCTTTCAGAGTTTTGTATATGCCATCCCATTGCCTTCTTACCTGCATGGTTTCTGCTGGAAAATCAGTGCTCAGTCTTACTTGTTCTCATTTGTTAGGTAACTTTTCATTTTTCTCGAGATGCTTTCAGGATTCTTTCCTTGTCTTCGGATTTCAAAAGTTTGATTATGATATGTCTTAGTGATTTTTAAATTTTTTGCACCTATCCTGTTTGGGTTTCATTCTGCTTCTGGTGTGCTTCTCATCTTTCATGATGTTAAGAAATTTTTCTTCGAACAACTCTTTGACAATTTTCTTGATGCTTTTAATTGTCTAGAATTCTATTTTAGAATTCTGATCAACCGTAAGTTATTCCTCTTCTTGGTGTCCCACATAATTCTTAGCCTTTCTTTGGATTTTTTTCATTGTTTTTCCTGATTATTCTCCAAGCATACTAGTATTGAATGATTTATATTCAAGTTCACTAATTCGGGATTCCATTGCTTCAAATCTTTTCCTTTGCTCTTTCAATAAATCCTAGTATTAATTTTCTGGATTTCTAATTGTAGATTTTGTATTCCTTCAAAATTTATATTTATTTTGTCTATTTTTTCCTGTAATGTTTTCCTGAATTTTTTTTTTTTTTTCAGTGTTCTCCTTGATCTTTTTGTCATTCCTTTGAAGGTACCTAAATATCTTTCTTTTGAATTCTTTTACAGAATAAAGTTATAGAAATAACTGTTTCTATTACCTTTTCTTCCTCAGAAACATTTTTTGGATCTGTATCCTGGCCATTTGTTTGTCCCATTCACTCTGGTTTTTTTGTGTGCTAAAATTGTTTGTTGTCTTTGGGACATTGTGGTGTCTTCATATTTGTATTTGATTGGTGACTAGGTGTTGATGTGTTCTTAGTTGCTTACCAACTTTTTCCTGTGAATGTAGTTAGAGAATGGAAGCATGTGCACTGTTCTCCATTTGCTGTTCGTGTACCTTACTTTAAGGTGTATTTGACTGGTGTTGGCTGGTGTCTATAGTCAATCAGGTGATATAGGAGCTGGTATTGGCTCTTCCCCAGTGGGTGGAGCTGCAGAGAGTACAGTTGTGGCTGGACTATATGGACACACCTCTCCACCACCATCCCACACACACACACACCAGGAAACACAACAGAATAAACAATCATACAAACAAAAATTAAAGGAGAAAAAAATCATTTAAAACACGCATGGGCCAGAAAAAAATAATAACTTAGAAATTTCTTTTCTCAAAAAGAGAAAAGAAGGACAGGAAAAAATGGAGCTATAGAAGAGAAAACAAAAGTAACATACAAATAATCCTTGGAAAAACCAAGGAGACGGAAGATGAAAAGAGAGAGAGTAGTAAAGAAAGATCAGAAGGGGACTAAAAAAGAAAAAGAGGGACAATGAGACAGAAGCAAGGAAGGAAAAACAAAAGCAGAGATAGAATAAAATGCAAGGGAATGGGAGGAGAAAAATAATAAACAAAAAAACAATGAACAACAAAAAGGAAAAACAAAATCCAAAAAGAACATCAAAAAGAAAAAACAGAGTAGCTCTTGGACCTAAATAGGAGAAAGCTGTGGGGGGCTCCTACAAGTCTAAGATCTTAGGAGCTGCATGTGGGAGGGAGGGATATGACAGAGTTCCCATCTGCCTCAGTGTTATCTGTGTTCAGGGGACTCAATCCATTAATGGGGCTAGTTTCAGAGTCTATATTAGGACCACAGAGCAGTTGGGGACAGAATGACTTGTTAAATGCTGCTCCGGTGGCTCACACATGTTCCGTAGGTCCTAAGCTGAACCCACCTGAATCCAGACACCGAAACAGTGTACCAAAAGTAGTGCAGCCACCTCCACCTCACACTGGTGTGGCTCCTAACTCCTGGAGAGCAGGGGCTGTGGTTGGGGTGAATAATGGCGGGAGATGACCACACTTTTGGTCATCAGGGTAGTATAGGAAAAAGAAGAGCCTGTGTGACTGCTCTGCCAAAGCTGCTCATAAAGGTTCAAGCCAACTACTTAGCAGTAGTCTCCCTCTCTTGCCATCACTGCTCATCTTCTCCTCCCAGCAAGGACTCAATCTGCTTCTCTAACTTTTCCTCTGAAGACGAAGGTTCCAGAATTTTCGTCTGTGTTTGTTTCCTTTGTTTTCTCCTCTATTGGTTGTAGAGTCCTGGTGTGACACTTCAGGTTAATGTGCTGGACTATAAAAAGTTGGGTTGAACCAGAAAGTCAGTGGTTCAAGCTCACCAATCGCTCCTCGGAAACCATGAGTCGGAACTGACTTGACGGCACTGAACAACATCTTTGTTGTACAGGGTCTGTGTAGTACATCTGCCTAGTCTGCCATCTTACCAGAAGCCTTTTTAAATATACTTTTTTAAATGTATAAAATAATATCATATATTTAGGCATATGTGTATTTATGTAAAATCTGTAAGTATGTAAATAAGAAGGATTCACACTAAAGGAAAATACTTAATTGAAGGAGAGGCAAGAATTTATATATGTATCAAAAATTTTTGTTTGCTTTTTAAGAAAAATTACAGCAAGAGATTTAAAAAAAATAAGGCAGAATGTTATTGCCAATTTTGGTTGTAAATAAGTGGGTATCAGTGTTATATACATATATTTTGTTTTAAAATATTTTATGATTAAAAACAAAATTTCAGAATTAATCTACAGGTTTCTTTTAAAATTAAAGGTACATCAAATGTCTTGAAAACTAATCTCTAGTGTTATTCCTTCTCAAACTATTTGCTTCTCCTTTTGGTAGGTGGTGCTTTCTACACAGCAGAGACTGGTGAAAATGCAAAAATGCATTATTACAACTCCTGGGCATTTATCCTCCATGCTACAGCATTGTGGCTTACAAGCACAGGCTTTATTGTTGCTGACCTAGATGAAGGATCCTCTAATCTTTCAAGACCTGTAACACCAACTTCCATGTGTCAGGGTTCATCATCTGGAACTACAGTAAAATCCCCTGAGGATATTTACACCGATAGATTCCATCTTATTTTAGGTGAGTAAAATTAGTTGTGCCTCGCTACTACCTTGGAACATCTTGGCTCTGTAGGATAAGCACTGGGCTGTGAACAGCCAGCTATTCAAGCACTCCAGCCACTCTGCTAGAGAAAGATGAGAATTTCTGTTCCCTCAAAGATTTATAGCCTCGGAAACCCTACACAAGGTTGCTGCTGTAAGTCGGAATCAAACTCAAAGGCACTTAATAACAACTACCACTTTAATGACTATCACTCTACAGTTTTATTCTTTTTTAATGGTCCATGTGGTATCTCTATATGTTTTACATAAAACACACACACATGCATACTTGTATGTATACATGTTGTTGTTGCTAAGTGCAGAGGAAGTGGTTCTGACTCATAGTGACCCTGTATAGAATTTCCATGGAACAGTTGGTGGGTTTGAACTACTGACCTAGTGGTTAACAGTTCATTGCTTATTCTACAGCACAACAGCAGGGCACCTTATATATATGTATATATGTAAAATATCAATACACTGAGGGTTCCCTTTCCCGTTCTCAATAATTGCAAAGTTTGAGAAAGTACACTTAAGAACCCAGAATTATAAGAAAATATTTTAGATAAGAGATAAATGAAATTTTTAGATTTGTGACATCTAATTTTTTTTTTCAGTTTACTGGAATATTATTTTTAAATTGAGATATTTTCCTAGCTAACACATTTACCTTCTGCAATCACTGAAATTAATGTTTTTCATATTTAACCTAATTCTGAGGGAAGCACTCTGTAAGATTTTTGCTGGTGAAAATATTGTTGATCAAATGAAGTGTGAGGGCTATAAAGATAAATGATGGCATTATGTACAACTTGTGGTTTACAGAGCTTCTATTATTATTCCTTTTCAAGCCAGGCATGACTAGATTTCGTATGTTCTTGCGTATATTTGTCTTGGGCTGAGAACTTTTTCAAAAGGAACTATTACAGATTGAAGTGTTGAGGAGTTGCTATGAGTACAGCCTGAGCAGTTTGATTACTAGAGTTCAAATTCTTGATATATACCCTATTGTTACTGACCTTGAGAAAATTAAAATACTTAAATTCTCTATGCACATTTCCCCATCTCACAATAGGTGGTAATAATAGTACCTGCTCATCAGGTATTGTGAAAATTACATGAAATTATACAGAAAATGGCTTCAAAAAGTTTGTGGAAAAATGAAATTAAAAGGTAATGGAATAAAGTCAGTAGAGGTAAATACTGTGAACTGATGGTAATTGGAGTGAATTGCAATCATTGCAATAACACAAAGTACGTAATTTATTAAATGTAAGAATGATGATGTGTTCTGTATACCTGTCTCAATTCACAATAAAAAGTTATACACACAAACACCACCACCCCCCCAAAAAAAAAAATCTGGTATTTCTTAGCTAGAAAATAGAGTAATTTGTTTTTCAGAAGCTAAAAAGACACAACATATATAAATAGAAATTTTCATAATTTAAATGAATATTCTGAACTAGCAACAAAAAAAGATGTGATTTTTTCCCTGAACTGTTTGAAGCCCCCACATATGTAAAGCCTAGCACATAACACATATTCTTCATTCAATAAATTCCAGACCAAAAAAAGTTACTGATAGTACAAGTTAAATTTTGTGGTGCGGTTTTATTGTAATTCATGCATCTTTGAACTGTTGTTGCTGACTGTTGTTGTTGTTGTTGTTAAGTGCCATGGAGTCAGTTCTGACCCATGGCGACCCTGCATAGGGTTTCTGAGGAGCCAATGGTGAGCTTGAACTGCTGACCTTACAGTTCAAACCCACTTTGCAGTCCAGCGCATTAACCCGCAGCGCCACACCTGGACCCTGCATCATTATTGCTACTAAGCAGCATTAAATCGGTTCTGAGTTATAGAAAGCTTTTATAGTATTTCTGAGGAGCAGTTGATGGGTTTGAACTTCTGATCTTAGTGGTTAGCAGTCCAGTGCTTATCCTACAGCACCCCACCAGTGGACAAACATAATTGAGACTGTTATTGTTGTTGGTAAGTGCCATGGAGTCAATGCTGACTCATAGTGACCCTGTATGGGGTTTCTGAGGAATGACTGGTTTAAGTCTCATTTTCTTTTTCTACTTCTTACAGGTATTAGTGTGGAATTTCTGTGTTCCTTGCGTTCAGATGCAACCATGGATAGCATTACTGCATGTTTACATGCATTACAAGCCCTTCTTGATGTTCCTTGGCCCAGATCAAAAATTGGCAGTGATCAGGTGATTTCTTGTTTTTTGTTAAGTTCCTGCAGATTTCAAGTAACAGAAATATATTCAGGTTACCTCAGTGAACAGAGTGAACACAGAAGTAAAAGGAAAGCTAAGCAGCTGCACAGCCAAGCATCGGAACTGGAATGCAGTTAATAGGAGCAGTCGTATCTCCAACTGTCATTTTCCATCTCTGTTTTTATTTCTGCTGTTGCCACCTAACCACTCTCTATTGTTATAAAGCCTCTGAGTCAGTCCTATAGGACAGAGTAGAACTACTCCACAGGGCTTCTGGGACTGTAAATCTTTATGGAAGCAGACTGTTACATCATTCTCTCTTGGGTTGACTGGTGGGTTTGAACCATCTACCTTTTGTTTTGCGTCCTAGCATTTAATCCATCATGCCACTAGGGCTTTTTGTTGCTATTCAAACTTTCTTTAATGATGAGAAAGTTCTGTATGTGCATTGTCCACTATAGTAGCCACTAACACATGTGGTTAATACGCCAGACTGCAAAGCTGTTTGAACTGCAAGTTCAGCAGTTCAAGCTCACCACCTGCTCCTCGGAAACCCTATACAGGGTCGCTGTGGGTCGGAACCGACTCGGCGGTACTTAGCAACAAAAAAAACAACACGTGGTTTTCCCTCTTTGTGTCTCCCTGCTTCTGTGTACTTGCTCTTCATAAGTTTGTATCTTATGTTCCTTTTCCCCAAGAGAAGATCTGACATATCTGTGTGTGTAGTTACTATGCATTACAGAGTTTTACTGTGAGATCCCTCAAGGTCTTTTTAAGAGACTGCTAGCCTACCTATATGTGGAGTCATGCGTTAATCCCTGGCCCAGTTGTGGCCATTGGAAAAAGATCACTGTGTAAAGCAGTGTGGCACTTCTTTGATAGTATTTCAGAAAGACAACTATGTAATTTGTATTTTCCAGTAAATTAAGAAAAATGGATGGTCTGATTGCCTCTCTTTATAGACTATCTGTGATGTAACTCATTACTGTACTGATTAAACATTAAGCAGATTTCTACCTGACTTGTCATGGACTTGAATACATTTTAAACTCTGGGTTTGTTTGTCCTGTGTATTGAAACAAGTATTGTAATGACAGATTTACTGTTAACTTAAAAGGCAGACGTCACCAGAAAGAAAAGGGGAACTGGAATAGTATTTGTCCAGTGTATTTTATTCTTTAGAGAGATGTCTGTTCTATGCTTATTAATTTAAAATCCATTTATAGTATATGTCACTATCATTCTTTATTATTACTAAAAAACTTTTCACATAAATCTTGGAATTTACATAACAGCACTTGCATTCTTTTAGCCAAATTTCCCATCTATTTCTTTTTATTTTAAGGGGGATTTCCTTTTCTTGCAAAATGATTTTTTCATAATGCCACCTCCTACAATATTGTAAAAAGTCAATGTGAAGTTAAAGTGGACTAAATGTTACATAATCTTATTTCAGAAACTATCCCCAGATTTTAGCTTTCCTTTTTTTGGGGTAAATATAAGGAACAGCATTGAAGGAGTTAGTGTAAAATACTGATTCTAAAGCTTACTCTAAGAAAATTTAGCCAGTGTTTTTAGAGATTAATAATTTAAGAAGGGACCCTGGTGGTGCAGTGATTAAGGACTCCACTGATAACTGAAAGGTCAGCTCTTTGAACCCACCAGCTAGCTATTCTGTGGAAGAAAGATGTAGCAAGCAGTCTGCTTCCATAATGGTTACAGTCTTAGAAATACTATGGGGAACTTACACTCTATCCTATGCATCAAAATCTATAAGGATTTAATAATTTAAGTTCACTTATTTCAGCTTGTGAAGTGGGAAGAGTATTTTGTCATTAATCATCTTCATTAGTAACTAATAACACCTTTATTTCTCTTTTTGTTAACATTTATTATATCCTCTTTTTAAAAAATGTTTTGCCATGGCATTCAATACTGGTATTTTTCACTTAAAAAAAAATGTGTGATTTCCAATACAGTGACCCCTAACTGTTTTCTATGATAGGACTTGGGTATCGAGTTGTTAAATGTGCTGCATCGAGTCATTTTGACGAGAGAATCACCTTCCATTCAACTGGCTTCACTTGAAGTGGTCAGACAGATTATATGTGCGGCTCAAGAACATGTGAAGGAGAAAAGAAGAAGTGCAGAGGGTAAGTAGTACTCATAATGCTGAATTAAACACAGCATTATTATTTTTAAATCTGTGTCGCTATGATCATTTGTTGTGTGGAGTTCAGAAGCCACATCTCTAGACATTGACCTGTCACAGCCCTGTCAGTCACCTCTTCAGGTTAATTTGGATAACAGTCAGTAAATAAGCAACTATTCTTTGAGAAAAGTAGAATTTTAACAAAACTTGGAGGAGTCGGGGATCCTTTATGTTGATAGAATCCTGGCTTTGGCTACAAATGTTTACTAGTGTACATCAAATTTACTGACAATGTACTGACAAGTTCTAATAAATTAGATTTTTCAAACTAAATTGATCTTTTACAAATATAATTTGATATTTGATATTGATTTGTTTTATTATTTAAGGTTACATTTGACTGCATGTAATAGAAAACCCAATATAAAAATGGATTAAAAATACAAGTATTTATTCCTTCATGCAGAAGTCCAGAGTAGGCAGGCCACAACTGGTTGGTATGACAGCTTTCTGAAGACATCAGGGACCTTTCTCTCCTGCCATTATCAATACGTAACATCAGAAGACCAACACATAAGGTCCGAAGCTCTAGCTGTCATTCGTTTTCTAAATAGCAAGAGCAGTTAACTGAACAGTATTTTAAGGCTGAGAGACTTGATTCATGGCAATAAGGAGTCATACAGACAATTACTTTTACCTCCATAACTGATTCTCCTCCATACCTTTAATTATTTAAATGTGTTGCCTTTAACAGAAATGAACTAAACTGCCATCTATCCAAAGCAAAACAAACACAAAGTTATTTATTCATTGACATCATTTCTCTCTTTTAGTTGATGATGGGGCTGCTGAAAAGGAAACCTTGCCAGAGTTTGGAGAGGGAAAGGACACAGGAGGACTTGTGCCTGGGAAGTCTTTGGTCTTTGCTACACTGGAATTGTGTGTATGCATTCTGGTTAGACAGCTCCCAGAACTAAACCCTAAATTGACAAGTAGTCCAGGAGTAAAATCTGCAAAGCCACAGTTATTGTCAGAAGATGGAAGTAAATTGGTGTCAGCTGCCTTGATCATTCTCTCTGAACTTCCTGCGGTGTGCTCTCCTGAAGGTATGTGACAATGTGTGATTACTTTACTGACCCAGACTGGAATGGGAGAAATGGTTTTAATAGATTATAGAGCCTTGTTGCTAATCCCGTTCTCAGTACCCAAAGGTTTGAATATTGTTTTAATTCACTGAGATTACTCTTACACTTCAGTCATTTGTTTTACTAAGATGGTGAGAGTAAATACAGGGATAGCAAGAACTACAAATAGATAGGCTCTTATATGATTGATAATATTTTAAACCAACCATTAGTCATTGTTCATTGTTGAGCGTTTTTAATTACTCCATCTCTGGTGAACTTTTCTGCCCTCAGTGATGATAAAAGTTTGTCGTCATAGCCAGTTCTACTTGGAATTAAGTCTGTATTCTTTAATAAAGCATTTAAAGCTCTGCTTTGGGAGTTCTGGTGTGACACTGTAGGATAAGCACTGGACACATTACTGCAAGGTCAGTGATTCAAACCCACCAGCTGCTCTCGGAAACCCTAGACAGGGTGGCTATGACTTGAACTGACTTGACTGTAACTTCACAACAGCATGTGTCTCTGCTGGGTCATTCTAGACCAAACCTACTGTCGTTACATCCATTCCAACTCATAACAACCCTGTAAGACAGTAGAACTGCCCCATATGGTTTCCAAGGCCTACACATCTTTCTCCTATGGAAGGGCTGGTAGCTGAGCAGTGTAACCACTGCACCACTAGGGCCCCCTGCTGAGTTGTTACCTCCTAACTGCCTCTTTGGAAATCCTGTACCCATGTTTACTCCTGTTTCTGTGTTACTGTCGTGTGTTTCTTCATCTGACATAATTAATCCTTTCTCTGCTTTTTAAAATTTCCTTTCCTCAAAGTTCAGCTCCAGGACAAACACACTGTGAAGTCTTCTCTAAAAACATTAGCTTATACTGAGTTTTGATTTTCTGTACACATACATATGTATAATGCTTCTATATGGAGATATGTAGCTTTCATATGCTCATCACCCATTCCTGTCAAGATGATTGCAATTCATAACAAACCTACCTATACGACAGAGTAGAACTGCTCCATAAACATTCCAAGCCTGTAATCCTTAACAAAAACAGATTGCCACATCTGTCTCACCTTAGAGGCTTGTAGTGAGTTCAGGGTGTCATCTTTATGGTTAACAGACAAGCTCAGTAGCTACTTCTGTGCCACCATGACTCCTTTAGCTGTCATATGGAGACATTACATGTAACTGATCATTATACAGGAGATAACTAATACATGTCTTACTTACAACAAAATTGTGTTATCTTTTAGGGGATCTAGCACATAATAGGTACTCAGTAAAGACTTGTCAATTGTTCAGTATATTTCTACTAGACTAATTTATGTGATGTGTAACTGTTAGCTTCATGACTTTAAGTTCTATCTGAATTAAAGTCTCTACTCTTTTTCACACACTCACTGACACTCAGAATGACTGAAAATTCACTTGTAGAATATTAGAGTTAAAAAATACACTCTTAGTTTGTTGAGTAACATCTGAGAAAATTGAAACTGATTGTTTTAGCTTTATTTTCTTCCCTTTCATTTTAAACTTAAAATTGATTTTCCAACATATTAGTGGCCATGAAAGTATTCTGTGCTAAGTGGAAGTCCATAAATTCGTGAAAAAAATAATTTATAATTCAACATTTGTCAGCTCCAAATAAAACAGAATAAAATAGCAAAAGTATGATATGATACTAAGTTATGTATTTTGTGCCTGTTTCATGTTACTTATCTGTTTGATTCTAGATTAGTATGTAAATGACAGAAGGAATGTTGCCCAGACACCATTACTTTCTGTTCAGATTCCTAGGGGATTATTTTACTCTTTTTCTATATACTTCCACAAATTTTAGATTATATGTGTTTATTTAAATAGCGTATCTAATTATCAAATTTTAATCCAGCCTTTAAAATCCTAATAAAGTTACTTAAGTTATCTTATGTTATAAACCTGTATGAGAAATAATCTTTAAAGCTAGAAATCTTTGATGTTGCCTTATTCATGCTTTCTTTTAAATAAGATTTTTTTTATAATTTCTCATAATATAGGCTGAAATCTGGAGTGTTTTCAAAAATATCTTATCTTCCAGGAAGCATCTCAGTTCTCCCTACTATACTGTACCTCACAATTGGAGTCCTCAGAGAAACTGCTGTGAAGTTACCTGGGGGCCAGTTATCTTCAACAGTTGCAGCTTCCCTACAGGCTCTGAAAGAAATATTATCTTCTCCCATGGCTCGAGCAGAAAAGAGCCATACTGCTTGGACTGACCTCCTCCGTAGCGCTTTAACAACAATTCTTGATTGTTGGGATCCAGGTAATTAATGCTCAATTCTACAAAGCAAGATGGGTAGATTTTTTAGGATAAGCCATTTGCTTGATCATATTCTGAAACCCGCCAGCTATATAGAGATCAGGTTCACTGCATGCATATATGTTTAGAGAATATGTATAAGTGAGTAGAGAATATCTATGTTCTAATTTTAGTATCTTTAACCTTTAAGGGGATTAAATGACTCTAAATTAGCAATGAGAGACCTTCAAATGTAATAGCATCTCGATTATCCTTACTCTAGCATTTACTAGTTCTGTAACTGACCAAGTTACCTGACTTCTCAAAGCCTTAGTTTCCTCATTAACAAAATAAGGATATTATGTTACGGAAAACTGTTAGAGCCATAACATAGTTTTTGAAAATCATCTAGCTTATTACCTAGCATATATCAATAAATGATGTTGTTGTTGTTAAGTGCCATTGAATCAGTTGTGACCCATAGCAACCTTGTATAGGGTTTCCGAGGAGTGACTGGTAAGTTTGAACCGCCAACCTTGTAGTTCAAACCAACTTTGCATTTCAGTGCATTAACCCACAGTACCACCCCAGGACTCGATCGGTGATAGCCAGTATTATTTTCAATATCCATTAAATTTTGTTTTTTCTTGTTATTGTTGTTATTTGGTTTTCATTTTCAACAGTATGTTATAATAATTATAAAGTCTTTAAACATATTATAAATTAATCACTGCCTTCCTTGTGCTGTTTATAAATATCACAGTTCACTATAACCAATTTCATTTGCTTCCTGTTGAATTCAGCATTAATTGACTATCAATTTTGTAAAAAAATTGAGAGCTTAATAGAGTCTGGTGCCTGTAAGTTGCTGTAGGGTATGGTCAATATCATGAGAAATACCTTAAAGGCAATAATAATGTCTTTATCTTTGTATTTCTAGTATTTAAAAAAAAAAAATACTGGCAAAAATGTTGTTAAGTGCATCGAGTCAGTTTCAACTCATAGTGACCCTGTGTAGGGTTTCCAAGAAGTGACTGGTGAGCTTGAACTGCAGATCTTGTGGTTCAAACCGACCTTACAGGCCAACACATGAACCCACAGTGCCACACCAGGACTCTGACTGGCATAAATAGAGGAGACATAATCAGCTCTCCTTGAATCAGGGGTTGTACCTACAGTACAGTTCTCCAGAAGCACACACTGAGATGCACAAGAGGTTTATTAAGGAGCAATACCTGTGAAGGAAAACATGGGGAAGTAATATTAGGCAGAAGAAGACCTCAAACTGCACTGCAGGCTGCCAGCAAAAGTTTGGTGAACCTGGCAGGAGCTCTGGAGCAGATTTTGCCCATCAGCTTATTTCACATAGGATAGAAATGACCTGGCTTCTATCCTCTGTCTCAGATAAGGGCTGCCCCAGGATGTGGGATCTCAGGCAAGACAGCTCTCTGTAGCTGAAGCCAAACCTGAAGGAACTGAAAGCTGACCACACTCCTTACAGCTGAGGCACACATCTTCCCTTAAAAGGATGTCAGCGGTTTATCTCTGTAACTGCTACAACAAACTTCTTCTAAGAGGCGATTTCTTAAAGGATTAAGAAGGAGTCTCCATGTGGATGTCATAAAAATTGATCCTAGGTACAATAGTTTGATCTAAGTCCTAGATTATAAATAGTGTGCATTTGGGGACAGAAAGGAAGGAGAGCTGTGAGAGTCTGGTTTGTGGAGAAGAGTAATAAGGAGCTAAATGGTGATAAGTAGAAAAAGAGACAAAGTTGGATGGTGTGAAGGCCGTAATATGCAGGACTTGGTGTGCTTGTAGTTTGGACTGCCTTTAAATAGACAGTGTGGAATCATTAGGTTGTTTCAAGAAGGAAGAATGTGAAGGAATTTGCATTTCTTAAGGATAAGGCTGACAACAGTAAAGGGAAGAAATCAAGACTATTGGATGTAAGATAATAGAGGAGTCAAATGATAAAAAAATAAATAAAATGTTAAGCATGTGTCAATAAAATTTCCTGATAGCTTGGTTTAGAATTAGAAGGGTAGGATGATTTGAGCACTTATGCTTTCATTAACACAAATGAGGGTATTTCAGGAGAAGACACTGAGATGAGCTTGAAATGCCTGTGGGTTAACCAGGAGGAACAGAAGATAGGTCTAGCATTCAAGAAAGTGTTCTGGGCTGGAGATGATTTTGACAGTTCAACATACGAAATTAACCAGCTTGAGTTTATGGAACAAGAAGAGGACCAAAATCACGAGGAGAGGCAAATACAGAAACCAAAGAAAAGACTGTTATAGTCAACATAGTCAGCATGGTAAAATACATATGTTCACACAACAGTGATTCAGAAAGTTCATGGAAAAACTTCATCACCTATAATTCCATTTTTCCATTAAATTCTGGAATCCTTGTACTTAGGGAGTTGTTGTTGTTAGGGGTCATTAAGTCAGTACTGACTCATAGCGACCCTATGTACAACAGAACGAAACACTGCCCGATCTTGGGCCAACCTCACAATTGTTGCCACGCTTGAGCCCATTGATGAATAGGGAGTGGAGAAGTTGAAAATAGGTAGTAGTTTCAGAAATTAGAGTAGGAATCCCAGTCCTTGTCTATGCAGAAAAGAACAGAATTCACAGGACATTTGGAAGGATTAGCCTTTCCCAATGCTAGAAGAGAAAGAGTTAAGGATGTGAAGTAATAAAGATAGGTGGTTTTTAACTTTTTATTGTGAGTTGACTGAAGGTTTATAGAGCAGATCATCAGTTTTGCATTTAACAGATCCTACTCATCATTTCATTACAATAATTGCAATCCTTTCCAGGTACCATCAGTTAACAGTACTTCTACCGAGATAACTTTTTATGTAAAGGATTATAATGAGCTTGCCTCAAAAAACTTTTTTGTTGTTGTCATGTATCAAGGAAAGGGTAGGCTAAGGACATTAGAGAATAAGCTTAACTATTGAAAGCAATGAATGAAAGAGCTAATTCATGAAATGGTAAATGAAAGAGGTAAATAAATGTTTGCTGTGTAACAAATTACTGCAAAACTCAGTGGCTTAAACAGCAAGCTTTTATTATTTGACAATTTCTGTAGGTCAGAAATTCTGGAGCAGTTTAGCTAGGTGGTTCTGGCTTGAAGTCTCTCATGAGGTTACTGTTAAAATGTTGGCTAAGGCAGCAGTTAGAGAATTAATTTCCAAGGTGACTCACTCACATGGCTGTTGGCAAGAGGCCCCAGTGTCTTAACTGGCTTTTGGCAGAAGTCTTAAGTTCCTTACCACATGGACCTTTCCATAGAAGTAAATGCTCAGAGATCCTTGCATGTTTTCTAGATAAAAAGAGAATGGGAAACAGGGAATCTCACAGAGGCAGGAAGGATAAAGGGTTTTATAAGAAATGGGAAGAGGAATCCTGGAGACCATCTCACTGAGAATAGAAAGACATTTTATTAAAAACAGACTAGCTGACTATGCTACAGTTTCAAGTTGCTGTAAATGACTAAAAATAACTTTGCTATATGGGAACCAGTGTAGCATCATGGTTCAAACTGCCTACTATACTAATTGTGTTACAACCATGGGTTAATGATTTAATTTCTGATTCCCAGTCTCTCATCCATAAAGTGAGGGATAAAAGAATATCTACCTCATGCTGGTGAGGTGAGGGTGAAATATTTAATGCATATAGAGTGCTTACAAACAGTACTGTAATAACTGTAAAAGCTAGTCATGGATTTATTTTACCTTAACATATTCAGATTATCTTTTATAAAACAAATCACACTCATGTATAAAATGTTGCTTTCATTGCTACTGTGTCACTCAAATGTCAAATCTTAAAGCCAGTGTAGTTGACCATCCTCGTCACATCTGTTGTCTCTTAATGTTATTTTATATCCATAGATCTATCAGTAGCTGAAATGAAATTTATTTAATTCCTAGATTATAGTATATGTTTGTCTCTGAGAGCAGACTTTAAGTTATTTGCCTTTGTATTTCCCTTGCTTAAGAGTGTGCCTAGAGTCCTGATGTGCCCTGTAGGATAAGCACTAGACTACTAACCACAAGGTCAGTGATTCAAATCCACGAGTCACTCCTGTGAAATCCTTTACAGGGTTGCTGTAGGTCGGAACTGACTCAACAGCACTTGACAAGAAGAGAGTGTCTGGCACTTGAGAGATGTTTCTAAAGTCTTTGTTGAATGACTGTTACCAGAGTTACAATAGTAATACAATGTCTCCATAAGTACCAGTGTATTTTTGCACAATTTAATGTTTTGAATTTGCCACATTTTGTTTTTTAAAATGGCATTGATTTTCATGGCATGTTTACTAAAATCATTTAATAAGGCTGTGACGTTGGAAAGTAAAGGCAATTTTCTTATAATAACTTACCCCTTCCCAATGATTATAACCAGTATACCTATTTTAAGGTCTTCCTCTACTGTTGAGATATGGTATGTGTTGACAAAGTGCTAAGGTATTTTCAGTTGGCACACATATTAACAAAATATAAGTACTTTAAGCTTTAAAAAATAGCAAAGCATTTCTTTATTATTTTAATTAAAATAATAATTTCATAACTTAACATGTTGAGCATTGTATACCACATGGTATTCTAAATGCTACATGTAGACTAACTCATTTAATACTTATAACACTCTGTTGTTGTTAAAAGCCGATGAGTCGATTCCAACTTATAACAACCCTATAAAAGGTTTCTGAGGCTTTAAATACTCATGGGAACAGAAAACCTCATCTTTCTCCCATGGAGCAGCTGGTGCGCTCGAACACAGACCTTATGGTTTGCAGTCTAGTGCTTATCGTATGGAGCCACTGCACACTCTACTTATAACACTGTAAGTGCACACATTGTTGTTATTTCCATTTTGCAGATTAAAAAAACTGAAAACAGAAAGATGAGGTATCCCTCTAGTAAATGTGTAATATATGTACAACCATCTGTTGGTCATATGCAAGTTCAAGTTGAAGTTGAAGAAAATTAGGAAAAGTCCGCAAGAACCAAAGTATGACCTTAAATATTGGTTTAAGTGTCAAGCTGCTGGAGAAAGGTGAAGCATTAACAATCCTAGAAATCCTGTGGAGCAATTCTACTCTCTCCTAAAGGGGCGCTGTTGAGTCGGAACCGACTCAATGGCAGTGGGTAGTGGTGCTACTTGAAATGAATTTAGAGACCATCTCAAGAATAGGTTTGACCAAAAACCAGACAAGTTGTGCAGTGACATCAAGGGTATCATTCATTGAAAAAAAATAAGTATTAAAACTATTCTGTGAAGGGAAAAAAAAAAAAGAATAAAAGGAACAGGTCATTAAAAAGACAGAAAAGAAAAATAAAATCAAAATGCTTGTCAGAAGAGACTCTGAAAATTGCTCTTGAACATACAATAGCTAAATCATGTGGAAGAGAGACTTTGGTTGTTCAGTGATAGGATTTTCATCTTCCATGCAGAAGCCCTAGGTTTGATTCCCAGGCATTGGCACCTCATCTGTAGCCCCCACTCATTTGTTGGTGGTAGTCTGTGTGTTGCAATCATGCTGAACAGATTTCAATGGAGCTTCTACACTAGGTAGTAAGGCTCAGCAATCTATATGCAAATACAAGCCAGTGGAAATCCTTTGGATCAGAAAGGTCCAATCCACAACTGAAAAGGAGGGCAACACAAGACTGAACAGTATGTTGTTCTGTTGTACATAGGTTCACCATGAATCAGGGACCAATTTGACAGTCACTTAGAAAAGTAACAACACAAACACTGAGAGAGATGCAAACATAGGTGGAAGACACTCCATGTGAAGATAATCTGCAAGCAGCCAGTGAACTCCAAAAAAGCACAAGGCTACAGAAAGACACAGATCTTCCCCTAGAGTTGTCAGAAAGACAGACTCAATACAGTTCTATTTAAAGTCATCCACTTTATGGTATTAAAAATTAATTAATTATGGGCTAAGACATGGGCTAAATGGGTAAGAGAAGAAGAATGGTATGTATATTTGTATATCCCACAAACATATAAGTGTTTGAAAGAGGGTATGGGTACATGGATATTCACCTTTCCTGCAAACACAACTATGAAGGTGGTAGAGCATACAGTGGGCAAAATGGTGAAATTCTTAGATATTTTAAAACATCTTAAGGCTGCAAGTTACTGGGCCTAGGGGCTCAGGAACATAGTCTCAGGTAACACCGTAATCAATTGGCATAACATAGTTCACAAAGACAATGTTCTGCATCCTACTTTGGTGAGTAGCATCTGGGATATTGAAAGCTCATGAGCAGCCATCTGAGGTGTAGCTATTGGTCTCTCCTAGTGCAGAAGAAAAGTGACACGCATTGAAGAGGTGTAGAATCAGTTAGTCTAATGGACTAATAGAACATGTGAACATTAGTCTCCATGATTCTTGAGACCAGAACTAGATGGTGCCCAGCTACCAATACCAACTGCTCTGAAAGGGATCACATTAGAGGATTCTGGACAGAGTTGGAAAAAATGTGGAACAAAACTCAAAATTATTTTTAAAAAAAGACCAGGTTTCCTGGTCAGACACTAGATGAATCTGAGATTATCACCCTAGAACACCCTTCAGTTCTGGAAAGGAACGCACCCTTATGGCCCAAACTTCAGCCATGAGATAGATAGGTATATAGTGGGGAAAACACTACTAGTAATGTATGCTCACCATGGAATGGCCAATCATTCACAATCAAAAGGACAGTATTTTCCTAAAGACAAAGTTAAGAAGGGATGGAAAGGTGAGTGGTATGCAAATAGGAACCATAGGGAGGAAGCAGGATAACTGTTGTTACAGGGAGGGGATTGCAATCATTGAGATGAAACAAAGTTTATGATTTGTTGAATGTAAAACTGATGTTCTTGTCTGTAAACCTTCACTCAATTCACAATGAAAAGTTTTAAAAAATTAAGCAAATGGAAGAAATTAAGAAAAACAGCTTAACAGAAGATTTCAAAGGCAGTTGAAAAGACAAAGTAAGTAAAGTATTATAATGAAATGTGCAAAGACCTAGAGTTAGAAAACTAAAAGGGGAGACTGAAGCTGAAAGAATTGAAGAAAAAAATCAGGTTTCAAGTTGCAGTATTGACGGCTTCTGTGGGCAGAATATTGAATGGCACAGAAAGCATCAAAAAGAATAAGCAAAGCCACTGTACCCAAAAGAATTGATTAGCATTCACTCATTTCAGGAAGTAGTATATGATCCTCTTGAGCCATTGGCATTGAAAGAACTCCAGCCTACACTGAAGGCATTGGGCAAAAAACCACAAGGCACCAGGAATTGACAGAATGCCATTTGGTATGTTTCAACAAACAGATGCAACCCCAAAAGCACTTACTCATCTCTGCCAAGAATATTGAATGAGAAGAGATCCATATTTTTGCCCATTCCAAAGAAGAGTTATATAACAGAACATGGTAATTCTCAAACAATATCAATAATGTCATACACATGTAATGTCAATACATGTAATGTCATACATGTAATTCCTGAAGTAAAAACAGTTGCAGCAGTAAGACAAGAAACTGCCAGAATTCAAGCTAGATTCAGAAGATGTTGAACAAGGGAAATCATTGCAGATGACAGGTAGCTTGGCTGAAAGTAGGAAATACAAGAAAGATGTTTATCTATGTTTTATTGACTATATAAAGACACTTGATTGTGTATCCCACAACAATATACAGATAACAAAAGAATGGCACTCCTAACATTTAATGGTGTCTGAAACTTGTTGCTACATTTCGTAAGGTGTTGCTCTGCTAAATGAAAGATCAGTGGTTCAAACCTACTAGTCACTCCAAAAGAGAAAGATGAAGGAGTCTGCTTCTGTAAAGATTTACAGCTTTGGAAACTCTAGGAAATAGTTCTTCTCTTGTCTTATAGAATCACTCTGAGTCCAAATTCCACAGAAGTGGGTCTTATGGGTTAATTGTGCTCATTTGTAGCCATTACATAGACCAAGAGGCATTTGTTCAAACACAACAAAGGGATACTGCACGGTTTAAAATCAAGAAAGGTTTGCTTATCTAAGAAGCTAGACTGTATAAGAAGAATGTGACATCAAGATTGGAGGAAGACTCAAACAACTTTCAGTATGCCCATGACACAACCTTTCTTGCTAAAAAAAGAATTTGAAGCAAATACTGATGAAGATCAGTATGGATTATACCTTAATATAAAGAAAGCAGAAATACTCACATGGACCAATAAGCAGCATCATAATAAACAGAGAAAAAATTGAAACCATCAAGGATTTCATTTTTCTTGGATTTATAATCATCACTTCCAAAAATAGCAGTCAAGAAATCAAAAGACATATTTTATTAGAAAAATCTGCTGCAAAAGATCACTTGGAAGTGTTAAAGAGCAAAGATGTCACTCTGAGAACTAAAGTGCAGTTGATCCACACCATAGTATATTCATTTGCCTCATAGGCATTTGAAAGTTGGACAATGAAAAAGGAAGAATAGATAAGAATCGATGCATTTGAATTATGGTGTTGGAGAAAAATATTGAATATACCACGGACTTCCAGGAGAATGAACAAATCTGTCTTAGAGTAGGTGCACCTAGAATGCCAGGTTGGTGAAACTTTGTCTTACTTACTTTGACCATGTTATCAGGAATTACCAGTCCCATCATACTTCATAAAGTAGAAGGTCAGTAAAAAAGAGGAAGGCCCTCAATGAAATGGATTGACATAGTGGCTGCAACTATGTGCTCAAACACAGCAAGATTATGAGCACGTATAGGGCCATAATCTGTTGTACACAGGTTCACAATGAGTCAGAACCAACTCAGTGGGCCCTCACAAAAACAATATATGTATTTACTGATCTCTTTGCCCTTGAAGGTTATAAATAAATTGTGAATTCTTGGCTTTATAATTACTTACACTGCCTACCATAAAACCCTATATGTATCAGTGTTCTTATAGTCAGCCAACAGTGTTCATCATCTGTATCTGCTAAGAGAAACTACTGCTACAAAACTAAAAATAGCTTCACAGAGATATAATCTAGCTACCTTTTCCCTGATACAAACCATTAAGTATGGTAGTATTGGAATCTGTTCCTAATAAATAATTTTTCCTTATTAGATGGAATACACCAAGACCTTGATGAAGTCAGTCTCCTTACTGCTGTGACAGTATTTATTTTGTCTACCAGTCCAGAAGTGACTACTATCCCATGTCTTCAAAAACGCTGCATTGAGAAATTTAAAGCTACTCTTGAGATGAAAGATCCTATGGTAAGTATCTTTAATAGAGAGATGTTTGTAATAGGATTATATTTAGGCTGCTGCAAAACTTTGTGTGGACTTTCGTTGGCTCCAACAAGAAGTACCGGGCTATCACCCAGGAGCCATCAAGGCAAGTGGTCGGGACCCCTCAGAGCAAACTCCCTTCCAAGACTGAGACACAAGGGGAATACATGAGCAGGCAGGTTGTCTGACTGGTGAC